AGCTGAATTTCTGAACAGTCAGTTTCTATTTGTTGTACATGATTCAAAGCTGGTATACTTTATTGATGCTGTCAGACTGAACATTTTAATCTTCATCATCATTTGTTTTATTTCAGATATTAATGAATGTCTCAACTCATCGTTGGTGTGTGGGCCGAATGCTAACTGTTCCAATTACAATGGAAACTATTCGTGCTCTTGTTGGGAAGGATATAACGTTACAAAGATGAATGAGACTATAAATAACAGTAACCCGTGCATAGGTGTGATTCATTTATTTGCATTTTGATGTTTTTCAGATGTTAAACATTTTTTCTAATTACATTTTTTTCTGTAATTAGGAAAGGATTAGAAATATTGAGATATTGTTCTGAAATGTGTTATTCCCTTTCCAGATATAAATGAATGTCAATTCAGTTCATCTGTATGTGGTCCAAATTCTAACTGCACAAATCAGTTGGGAAGTTACAATTGCTCATGTTCAGATGGATTCACTGCAACAAACTCAAGTCTCCCGATTAGCATCAATAACACATGTACAGGTATATTCTATATTCAGATACCTGTAAAGCCTTGAGAGTTTTTCTCGTGCCTATTATTGTAAATTAAGTCACACAGTGCATAAGGATAAATATATTTTCTATGAATTTGACAATCAGAGTTTTATACTGTTTTTCATCTCTTTCTGAAAAAAAGATGTTAATGAATGTCTTAAGACATTAGAATTCTGTGGTCCAAACTCTCATTGCACATAGGTGTGATTCATTTATTTGCATTTTGATGTTTTTCAGATGTAAAACATTTTTTCTAATAACATTTTTTTCTGTAATTAGAAAAGGATTAGAAATATTGAGATATTGTTCTGAAATGTGTTATTCCCTTTCCAGATATAAATGAATGTCAATTCAGTTCATCTGTATGTGGTCCAAATTCTAACTGCACAAATCAGTTGGGAAGTTACAATTGCTCATGTTCAGATGGATTCACTGCAACAAACTCAAATCTCTCCATCAGCATCAATAACACATGTACAGGTACATTCTATATTCAGATTTGTGAGTATTACTACCTTAAATAATGAGATAAATAAGATTTTTGTTTAGAGCATTAAATGTTCTTAATGCTGATCATTTGTCAGCATCTGTAAAGATTAAAAGATTAATAAGCACAATGCTGAATATGCTGAATTTTTAAACCATGTAATGTCAATTTCCTCCAATTCCAACAGTACCACCACAAACAACACCATCAACACCACCAACAACAGCATCAACACCAACACCATCACCACCACCATCAACACCACCAACAACACCATCAACACCATCACCACCATCAACAACACCATCAACACCACCAACAACACTATCAACAACAATGACAGCAACAGGTGTTCACAGTAAAACAAAATCTGATGTTTGGTTTCATGCAGGATAAAATTATATTCATATTGTTGTTTTGCTAATATATCTAATTCAACAACAGCATAGACAGGTACTGTAAATATAAATGTTGCACAAAAGAATAAGGATAATGTTTGTGTTAGCAAGAGTACAACAGTGGTATGAAAATAAAAAAAAACAGGAAATAATTTTTTTAAATTTATTTATTGTGTTATCATGAATTAATGTTTATTGGGGGACACCAGTGTTTCCTTGTGTACCCCCTCTGGCTGGGTAGTATTTGTATTGTTTTATAATTAGAGATTGAGAATTGTTGCTTAAACCTGTTGATACAATGAACTTAAATGTGCACTTTTTTTTTACAGTAATTGGAATGTCAATGACAATAAATCAGACTTTTGACAGAAGTCTTACCGACCCTGATAGCAAGACTTACAAAGATTTATCTGGACAAATTGAGTCAACAGTGAGTATTCTGTGCTTCATTTTTTGTGAAATGTAATTTGTTTATGAACATGTTGATTTATTTGTTATTTACACATTGATTTTGTTTGAATGCTATTTATAAAATGGTTATTTCCCAGTCCTTGATTATTGATTGCTCAACAGCTGTGTTTTATTCTCAATAAAGCATGTCTATGACTGCTTCACTCAACGGTTCTGTGTATTACTGACCAATCAGAATCAAGGACTGGAACTAGCCTAATAGTTTTATTTTGCTTTTTATATCATTATATTTTTGTATTTATTTTTCCCTAACATCCAGTTGACAGTCAGAAACAGTCCAAATATAATATCCTCACATGCACATGACGTTGTAACGTATTAATAGACAGAATAACTATTGAATTTTCATTATTGGGAAAATAATTTCAAAGATAAATTGGGTATTTTGCTTTTTACAGATTAATGTCAATTATTTTAATAAGCTACCTGGCTACATTTTTGGTTCTACAAAAGTCTCTGCCTTCAGGTATGATCTACCATTTAAATTTTTCACTTTTTTTCACCCAACGTTCCCATTTATTTACTGCTTTTTCAAACAAACACAATGTTAATACATGTCTTCACATTGGTGTGGTTTGTGTTTCTCCATAGGCCTGGTAGTGTTATAGCAGACTACACAATAAGGGCAACATCCAATAGCTTTGATTTTGGAGCAGCAAACACACAGGTTTCTGACTCTCTAAAGGCACAAGGAATAAATTTAGTTGAAAATGCTTTTGCTCAAAGTGGTAAGAGTAGTCAGTGCCTAATCTAAAACCCTTCACATTTCTTAGTTTCACCATATTTATTATTTTGTTGTTTAGGTTTTGTTTGTTGTTGGGTGATATGAGTTGTATGGTTTCTATTTACAGAACAAGCAGTTTTCACAAAAGATCAGTTATATCCTCTGCAAGAGGTGGACCTGAAATGTAATCAGCCAGAATTCGCAAAGGGTCAGATAAAATGGACAATGGATAACAAAGATCTGGCAGGAAACACAAAATATTTAATTTCCAATGACATGACAACTCTCACTATGCTAAACGCGAGTGAAAGTTACAATGGTGAGCGGCATGCGTCTGATTTTTGTCTTGTCTATGATATCACATGGCAAAATGTCTGATTGCTATTAGAGTCCTGTTTTAAAAAATATACTGCTGTAAAACTGTGCCACAGTTTGATTTAAGTACATTAGCATATTGATCTACTATAGCATAAGATTAGACGAGATTATACTATATGTGGCATAGATTATGAACTATTAAACCAATCGAAATAAAGCTACTCTCATAGTGTGTTAATGCCATGAACATTGCCTCATTAACAAAGTTTTGTTTTGCGAGCAAATAAATAAATAAATACATTAGAAACGGTATGAAGTTCCTCAATGTTTAGTAACATTGCTCAGTAAACAAAACCTACTGGGTTTAAGAGATTTGCTCTAATGATTCTGTATTGATTTTTCATACGTAGGTCGATATTCATGCATTATACAAAGGAATTCAATACCATACATTCAGTGGCAAAACATCATTATTAAACGACGTCCCAGTATCATTGTGGGGCAAAAAGACCGTGTTTTTCCATGTGATGGCAGCAGTTTTCAACTGATATGTTCTGTTGATGATGGCTACAATATTGAGTGGGTCGTGGGTGGAACAGTACAAATTTCAGGTTGTACATAAAAATCATTGTTTTTTATCAAACATTTTTTCTAAAAGTTATTGAGTAGTTGTCCTTCAAATAAAACCTTCATGTTATTAATGTTTTATAGTAAATGCATTTCTCTTTTTACACAATCAGGATCTGACAGTATCACATTAAACTATGATACTCCGACGGTAAATTGTTCAGATCGAACCTTTACCTTTACATGTCGTCTCAAGGATCTGCCACAACTACAGAATTTCGGTTATAGCTATAGCAGCGTCACAGTAAGGACAAGCACAGAAAGTGAGCCTTCAGTTTCTCATTGTTTTCAGCATCAAAGTGCTTTTTTACTGTTGTACAGTTGCATTAAATGGTATTTACGGTGTAGCAGACTTTTCTTTGGATTGCAGCACACCTGATTATCAGGTGTTGACTGTACTGGTCATATTGTTTAGTCTTTTGACCCTAATTATTTCTTATGCTTCTGCATAATGTGCAAGTAGCCTGCAGGGGTACTTTCAAGTCCCAAAATCTATAAAGTGTAATGTGATGTTCTGTTCTGAGAGAAACCGTTAAATCGCATCTGTTTACTTCTGATTTTTAATAAAATAATTCTTCAGATTATGACTGTCGAAATGAAGAACTTGGAGTTGGAAAAACAGATGAAGTGAAGACAGGAGTCTGTGGAAAAGGTTTGAAAGGCACCTTAACTTACAAATGTGAATCACGTGATTGGAAACCATTAGAGGACAACTGTGTACTTGAAGTTATCGACAACCTTAAAAACAAACTTGAGGTAATCTATTGATCATATCTATCTACAATGATCTGGCCATTTTAAATGTTTCTGATATTTGTATTTTTTGTACTTTGCAATTCAGTCCTTGCGTGTGGAGGAGATTCCAGGGTTTATGGCTAACCTCAGTTCTGCCACAGCAAAGCATGATATTAATATAACCCAGTCTGCTGCTACTGTCCAAGCAATTGTTGACATACTCTTTAAAATTGCCGACTTGTCACAAACTATTGTCATAAAAAAAATAGTGATGGAGGTATGTATATTCACATTCAAGCTTGTAAAATGTAATGTGTAGATGTGTTATGCTTGTTGGATTGAATTAAACTAATGTTTAGTTAAGATAAATTAATTGATAATTAATTTTACTTACTGTTATTTTGTATTGTTATAGCCACTCTCACCATTATCATGAATTAAACCTGTCCATTATTATATTATATTATATTATATTATATTATTGTGACAAATGGGGGCGGGACTCGAGACCGGTGAGTGGTGCAGGTGTCGCTCATTATCAATTACTCCACCGGCCTCGCTCCATTCCCACGGCTCTCGGCCCCGCCCCCATTCGTCACAATTATATTATATTACATTGTATTATATTATTATATGAGGAATTCTTTATAAAAATGTGGCAGGTCATGTTTTTTTTATTCTAGGTTATAGTAATATCTTATATTTTGTCTTATTAGATTATCCAAATATATATATCTTATATATTAAATATTTCCACATTTTATGGGCTAAATTTCATAATTTAATACAGAATTTTATATTACATTTCCAGAGTTTCCTAAACACAGTGGACATTATTGTATCAGGTAATGTCAGTAATACATGGAACAAACTGAACAAAGGCAAAAACACAGAAGACACCAGCATTAAACTTCTGAGCGCTATTGAGGATATAAGTGACCGTCTCACAGATGAGTTTGCGATTAATGAAACATCCATTCAGCTGAATAGAACTACAATTAAAAACTCATTCAATATAACATCAGCACTGCCAAACTCGGCTACAGAGATTGTGGTACCACAGGTTCCTCAAGAGACTACCATAACCATCATAATCTTCACAACTCTTGACAAAGTCCTTCCTTCTCAAGGTACTAATGACAGCAGGAAATCAGATGTGCGCATCAATGGAGATGTGGTTGTTGTTAAGGTTAATGAAACTCTTAACAACATTTCTTTTACATTTGACATTACTGAACAGTCTTTGGGAAATCCTCAGTGTGTCTTTTGGAACTTCAGTCTCAGCGATTGGGATTCCACTGGATGCGAAGCAAAGCCCTATATAAGTAAAGGGAATGAAACTGGCAAGATTACATGTGAATGCAACCACACAACTTCCTTTTCAATCTTAATGTCAGCGCTGTTGCTCTTTTACCGTACAGTCATGGTCTTGTCTCAAATGTCAAGGGCCAAAATGATGGTCATTGCCTTCATAGTCAGTTATGGTGCACCTTTGCTGATAGCGGTCATCACTGTTGCATCAACAGCTGGTCCTAAAAAATATATTTCCAAAAAAAATGCATGCTGGCTGAACTGGTACGAATCAAAGGCCCTGCTGGCATTTGTGATCCCAGCTTTCACTATTGTAGCCATAAACCTTGTAGTTTTGATTGTGGTTCTGTACAAGATGTTGAGGAGAGGAGTCGGTGCCGCAACTCAACCAGATGAGAAACATGCCCTGGTGGTCATTGCCAGATGTGTGGCCATTTTAACTCCTATCTTTGGTCTAACATGGGGATTTGGCATTGGAACCATGGTGTCACGTGACTTTGGTATTCATGTGGTGTTTGCACTCCTCAATTCACTGCAGGTACTACTTTATAATGTCAATTTTATAGCAAGATTACAGTTTGTGCATGTATTCAAATATATGCAATCCACTAATGCTGCACATTAAATTATTATGTCAATTTTTTTGTTATTGTATTTTAAAATTGAACCATATTGCAACTGATACCTTCATGTATTTGTAACACTTCCTTCTATTAGGGATTCTTTATTTTGGTGTTTGGAACGCTTTTAGACAGCAAGGTATGAGTTTACTTCTATTGCACAGAGCTTAAGAAAAGCCATTTAACTTTGTAATCTTGAATTTAACCTAGAGATCTGATCATCTGCCATTATGTTATACCATATAAACCATACATTACAAATTTGACAGCAATATATCAACCGGGTGGATTTCATTTAGACTGTTACTTGACTGATTATCCTGCTTATTACGTGAATACCCACCAGATATGTGAAAATAAAATATTGGTTTGAGTTAAATATATTTAACAATTTTATCTGTAAGAAAAAACAATAGGCCACTACAAAATCAACCTAGCAGCAATATGGACACTGCAACAACATTACAGTAATATGACTACCAAAGTTCTTACCATTTTCATTACAATCAACGAATATTAGGAAATAGCTGACCACTGGAAGTGCAAATGACAAATTAGAATCAAGTAATTTTTAGAGAGCTGTGTAATAAGCAGACATTTAAGATCCTTTCAAGAAATTTCTAGAAGTTAACTAGAGATATCTGATTGCAGGTTCGTGAGTCACTACCAGGAAAACGGTTGCTACAGAAACTCAGTTCCAGTCGTACCAAGGTAAATGCCATTCTATAATAACACATACTTATATGAACTCTTTTACTAATGTTCAGCTTTTACCCCCTGCTTAAATATTTTTTACATTGACTCTGTGATTTATTTTGACTGATATCTCCCTACAGAGCACCAGTGGAGGAACATCGTCCACATCTGGCCTGCCTTTCTTGCGAAGGAAGCAACGGAGGCGTAAGTAGATGACATATCTGAAAGCTAATATTTGTGAATATATTTTCAGTTAGATGAATCTCTAATGTTGTTACACAGTATTTCTCATTTGGATAAATATGACTGCTAAATGAGTTAATGTGAATACAGTAGACAGTTCAGTGAGTAACATGCAACTAACTTTTTTTCAGATGTGTACAACGTATCCGAAACCAACCTTTCCTCAGCAGTTACATCTTCAGACAGCTCCAGTGGCTCATATGCTGTTATGAACACTTAAAGCACCCAAAAAGTGTTTCTGTTACTATGACAAGCTACATGTTAGCTCTTTTACTGTACAGCCTCCAATAAAATAGTAAGATATTGTAAGAATAAGAATAACTGTAAGGGCATGGTGAGTGTAAGGGGCTTTTACACAGGTTGTTTAAAAAGATTCTTTATTTTTTTGTAATAATAGCGTCTAGGGTTGCAGTAGTATCGCAATATAAATTTTTTTAAACGGTAGTATAGTCAGTACTGCAGTAATGTTCTATATGTGCGGCATGTAAACTATTTAAAAGGTTCATTTGAACACATGTATGCAAAAACATTACAAGAGAGTCTTTCTGCAGCCTTTCTGTTGTGCATCCATTGCTCGATCATTTGACCATTTCTAGAATAGGCCTAGTTGGTTAGTGTCACGAATCCGGTCCGTGGCCTTCCGGCCGATTGCCACCAGAGGTCGCTCTCCCATTACATTGACTCTCACACCACACAGACTGTTACACATCACCCTGGACTGCATTTCCCATCATCCATTGCACTGATTACACACACACAGCTGCATCCAATGAGACCTGCTTTTTAAGCCATGGACTTCCTCTCTCTCAATGCCGAGTATTGGTTAGCGTATAACACTCTTCTAGCGATAGCTACATTACGGAGCCATTCCAAGTTTATGTTTCTAGTTCTAGTCTAAGTCTAGTCATTTCGTGTTGCCTTGTTGTCTGTTTCCTGATCTTCTGCCTGTGTATCTTGGATTAACCCTTTGCCTGCTGTTTCGGACTGTGTTTGCACCTTGCCTGGACGGTCTTTGTCAGTCACGTGCGTTTATTATGTGTAACGTCACCGAGGCGCCATTTTGAAGGCATGTTGCATTGAGCAGTGAACTAAAAGTGTACAGAGCCGTGGAATAAAGACCGATTCAATCATCATACTGGAGAAACAGATGCAAACCAAGTAGATACGGTACCGAGATAATCTCAGCAAATTTTTTTTAGGAACCGTAATATGTAATTTGTCACTGATGATGATTAACAATTAACACTGATCCATACTAACATTACCTGAAGAAAAAAGCTGAGTGCCACCGGCATCGCTGCTGCCTCCAACCTCGTTGGATATATGATTATCTTGTTTACAGTATAAAAACGTATTTTATTTACTTATACACGTATATATTGTTTTTGTCTACCATTGATTTGCACACATAATTTGCACAATTGTAAGTAATTACATCATGTGAGTCTCTACCATTAAACCTTACCCTGTTTGTTCACAATTTTCCGTACTTCATTTGGCTGATAACAAGTACTGATAAGTACTAATAACAAGGAGACAATCAAAAACACATTTATGAAAATGGCATTATTGCTTCTGCCAAACATTTCTGATGACCCTTTCTGCATGGATTCTTAGAAGTGCTAGACGATCTGTCAAATACTAAATAGTGCTTGTAGGTAGAAGACATTTTGACACACACTTTCACACTGAATGGTTTCTCTGTGGAAATCTCAAAACAGTCTATCATTCCTATTCTGTGTCCAAAGGACTTCACAAACTAGTGAGGCACAATTTTGTGCCTGTCAGTTGCCTAAAACAGTGTTTGTGCAGGCAGATCCAATCTGAGGTGCATAAGGTTAACAGAAGTATTTAAAATGAAGTGAGAATTGTTCTTATTTCTGACATGAAAAGCAGCATAAGGCAATAAAAACCTTCATGGCAGGGATTCTCAACTCTAGCTGAGGGGGGTTACAGAGTATTTGTTAAATATAAAAACAAAATATATATTGTGTGTTTGAGTGGTCCAGACGCTACACCTCTTATGACCACGTCTCTATTTAATAAAAGCTTTCAAATGGATCCGCACGTCTCTCGTCTCGTCTCGTCGCCTCCGTTACAGTTAGTTTCTAGAACTATCTTTGCAATGACAAATGCATTTTCATTCATCAACTTAGCGGCATTTGCACTGGGTTCTTATCATTCATATAATGTGATTTTAACATTATAAATGAATTATATGTTAGTATACTACTCTGAGAAAAAAACACAACGCAGATTACACCGGTCACATATATACATACTGGCCATCAGTCAGAGTTTCAAGCTGTGGAGAAAAATGCTCCTGTATGTGTTATTGTTTTATATAACATGATACAGTAGTTCAGCAATATGATAAGCAGGAGTGCTGTATATCCACATGATTGCAAATGTGTTTTTTGCACAAAGATAAAATAAGTACACTGTAAAAGCCTATAGTTTACCTTACTTGGATATAATTAGTTATCTTTACTTAGTTGTTATACTTATTAGGTTTTATTAAGTTACAGCTAATTTCAAGGCAAATAAAACAATTTACTTACTGTTTTGAGTGATGCATACTTAAAATATGCAAATAGCCACAAAGGAACCAATGACATTAATACACCAGTGAGAGGCAGCAGTGCACTAATATGTTACTAATGTGCAACAAATCAACAGAAGAAGACGAAGAAGAAATAAAGTTTTTGAGAGGGGGCAATTCTTAATAGACTTTTCCCTCATTTCCTCCACTTCTGCAGTTCTCTTTCTCTAGTTGCATTCACTTGTTTGCCAAAGTCATCTTGAATGTTGAATTGTCAATACAACTGAACAATTTGAGAGAACATCACATAAGCTGACTTAATAAATTGATGTTGATTTTCCTAAAAAACATTTTTGTTTGAACTCCCCATTATGATTAGTGCTCCCTTTGGTTGGCCACTTGGAACTTCATTTATATTATTATAATTCTCTTCCTACTGATGCAACAATGCATTATGAAATCATAGTTATTTGGTTTCAAAGGAAGGGAAGTAATAAATAGGTTACTTTTAGAAGGTAACCTAACTTCTTATTAAATCATTAGCTACTGTCTGTTTCATGTTGATTAACAATCTTTTACAATTTTATTGTTTTTCATAAACACCTTGTGAAGCTTTTATTTGGGTTGATATCTTATATTTGTAGCAATATTTTGCAATTGACCATGCTCACATGGTACACACAGTCACACACAGACTTCAACATTCAGCACACCAAACACAACAATGGTAACAATTAAATTGTATTAATTGTAACAATAGCCAATTTTTTTTGCTCTTTTTGTTGTACTACTACTGACACAAGACAGCAAATAAAATTGACAAATTAAAAAAGTTAAACAAAGCAGTTGCATAATTTATTTATACCCCAGTGCACTCTGGGAGTTAGTAATTCTGAGTAGCTGTACTAAATGAAGAGTAAACCTAAAGTAAATAATCAAGTACTCCCTACAGTTCTTTTTTTAGTTACTAGAACTCTCATGTAAGTGGACTATACTAACTACACATTTGTCATTACAACATACTATTCCCATTTCACTTTACGTAGTTTTAAGGCAATCTGTTTCCTATTTTCCTAGTAATGTGAACACTAACAAGAAGTTAACACAACTGATTATTTTAAGTCAACAGTACTTAAGTATACTTTGTTAACAAGTTTTCTGTACAAACTGTTTTAAGTTATGCCAACTTAAAATTAACACACTACTTTGCATAGATAAAGTGAGGAAAACGATTGCTTTAAAATTTCTAAGTGAAGTCAGCTTATTACATTTTACAGTGTACAATAAAAACACACACACAAAAAACAAGAAAAGGCAGAAAACCCAAAAGGTGTCACAGTATCTCTGGGAGGAACGAGGAGAATACTTAAGAGACTTTAATAAAACAAACGAAGGGATACAACCACTGGAACTCAGGGATGACATAACAGCAGACGGAGAACTGGGAACACTTTAAATACACAGAAACAAATGGTACACACCTGGGAACAATACAAACTAAATGGGGAACACCTGGACTAAATGAACATACAGACAGGAAGGACCAAATAAGGGCATAAGAGGGAGGGAAACACAAGGCACAGGAACACAACACACAGGGTGGGCGCTCTGGAGGCCTCTAGGGACAGGGTAACTGGACAGAAGGCTTCCATTCCGGGACCCAAAGCGGAGCAGGAAGCTCAGGGAGCCATGGTGGAGCAGGTGACTCGGGAGGCCATGGCGGAGCAGGGAGCTCGGGGAGGCCATGGCGGAGCAGGGAGCTCGGGAGGCCATGGCGGTGTAGGCAGTTCGGGAGGCCATGGCAAAGCAGTACACTGGAGCGGGCTCAGGGGCTGGAGCCGACACTGGAGCGAGCTCTGGGGCTGGGATGAGGGCTGTGAAAAGTCTTTTCCTCCTCCTCCTCCCTTGGTTATGGCTGAATTGGGCGGCAGGTGGGCTTGTCGTTGCTGCGGCCGGTGGACTAGAAAGAGCCGCGGCCGGCGGGCTCGACATCGGCGCGGCCTGTGGGCTTGAGTGCTAAACGGCCGATGGGCCTGCCTTCGGAATGGCCGGTGGGCTGGAGAGAGCCGCGGCCGGTGGGCTTGACGGGAGGTCCACGGGGCGATGGTAATTGGCCCCGTGCCAGAACAGCGAGTTGAGGGTGGAGTCATCCAAGGCCATAGCCGCGGTGAGCCTGCAGAACTCCCAGGAATACTCAACGAAGGGGAGATCCAGACGAGCTAGGGCGGTGAACCAAGTGGCAACGTCCATTGCCGTGGAGGAAAACAGGAAAACAAAAAACTTTTCAAAAACCGAAAAAATAAAAACGGGGAGAAGGGCGCCGCTTACTTTTTGTTTAGGTCTGCTATTCTGTCACAGTCTCTCTGGGAGGAGACGCAGGAGAATACCAGAGACTTTAATAAAACAAACGAAGGGAACCACTGGAACTCAGGGATGACATATAACAGCAGACAGAGAACTGGGAACACTTTAAATACACAGAAACAAATGGGACACACCTGGGAACAATACCAACTAAATGGGGAACACCTGGACTAAATGAACATACAGACAGGAACAGGAAGGACCAAATAAGGGCATAAGAGGGAGGGAAACACAAGGCACAGGAACACAAGACTGACAAATGGCTTATTTAGAGCTTCCCCGTAAACGATGTAGGAAACAAAAACAAACCATTCATGAAATTAAAAAACGAGCTAAATTACAATAACAAATATAAAAATATAAATAACTACAAATTAATTACATCATGTCAAAAAACCTAGAAATTATATACTCCAAAAGCAAACCATATATGGTACAAAAAATACATTTAAAAAAAAGACAAAATACACTATTTCAAAGCCTTCGATCCTTTATACATATTTTATAACATGTTAAAGAGGATTATTATTATATACTCCAAAAGCAAACCATATATGGTACAAAAAATACATTAAAAAAAAAGACAAAATACACTATTTCAAAGCCTTCGATCCTTTATACATATTTTATAACATGTTAAAGAGGATTATTTTTTTTTTTGCTATGGGATAAACTATTCCATAATTTAATACCCCTAACTCTTATCAAGTATTGACCTCTACAAGTGAGAACTTTAGGAAGATGAAAATTTGAAATTTGTCAAGTTAAATAACAGTGAAACTGTGAATTGACTTTAAAATACATTCTAAATTGCTCTGGAATGTTACCCTCACGTGAATATATCTTATACATAAATACACATATGTGGAAAAATAGTAAGAACCTGAAGTTTATGAAATAAAGAAGCATATATGTTTGATCGGGTTGCAATCCTAACAAAACGCTTCTGAAGAATAAAGATTTTTTGTAGGAAAAGTACTCGCCCAAACTAAATGACAAATATACGGATAAATTAAACTATAGTAAAGCGTAAGAAGACACGCTGTAGTAACAAGGTGCCTCCTTATTATACCAGTAGATTTATGTATTTTTCTGCTCATGTAATCAACCTGTTCCCTCCAACTCAAAGTCTCATCAACAAAAACACCCAAGAATTTAGTAGTTCAGTTGACACTTGAGGCACTTCAGTAGACTCAATAGTAATTTTTGATAAATGGGGTAGAATTTTTTTTCCCACTAAAAATAATAAATCTAGATTTTTTTATATTTAAAGACAATTTGCTTAAATTAAACTAATTAGCATAAACAATTAGACCATCATTTGCATTCTTAATCAATGAATTAAAATTTGAGTGAGAGAGAACTAAGTTTGTGTCGTCAGCAAACATTACTGGAGTAAAAATATTTGAAACTTTCAACAAGTCATTTATATAAATAAGAAATAGCAATGGTCCAAGTATGAACCCCTGAGGAACCCCACAGAGTAGACTTTCTTTACAGGAATAACAACCCTTAAAACAAACAAACGGTCTTCTATTAAAAATGTAATTCTTCAACTATTTATATGTAAAATCATGAAAACCATATTTGTACAACTTTTCCAATAAAATGTAATGATCAACTGTATCAAAAGCTATATTTATACAAAGGTTCAATAAACAAAAGTTAATACTAAATTACATTTTAGACACATTGTCAATATTGAAATTTCTGCTCTATTTCGCCAAAGAACATAGTTATAAACAAAGCAGAACTGTTGCAATTCCCCCAGCAACACACAAAGATGTTTTGTTTCTGAATGAATATGTTTTTGAACAAATCAGGTGTATGATTCACTGAGCCATTCATAAAAACAGTCACTTGCTTCATTCCTAAATGAATTAGCTGTTGAATAAATGATTCAGTGATTCAATCATTAAGACTTGCTGCCACCTACTGGTGGTTTTTATTTCTCATTTAAAAGTAGGCCTATTATTTATTTATTTAATTTAATATTTCTATATTCAGAGTTCTACAATTAAAACATTAATATCATAGGCCTAACATTATATTTATGCAATTGCAACTGCAGCGTAAATGGATTAATACCACATCTAAATATAACTTAATGCTGCTTCTGTGCTACTGTGCTACTGTGCAGTGTTAAGATGGATTTGATTTCATTCAACTGTTAACAATAGCCAGTTATTCATTCTCACTAACAAAGTATTCAGAGGAAATCTGTTTTCATTTGCATAAAAATTTGGTTAATTTAGATTTGAATTATGAATTAACACAATACTGCATGGTATTGTGATATTAATTGGTATTGTGATACTTCAGCTGGTTTACTATAGTAAGACATTTTTATGGTACTGTGACATAGACATAGTGGCATAGAAATCGCATACTACATATTTAATCACACCTTTAATCATTTTCAAGGATATTTAAATTTTCATTATGGCTGGAATAAAATAAAGGGAAAACACAATAGATTTAATTGGTATTTTGACCACTCTAATAGGAAATGTTCCCTATCGATACTTCACTCGTACTGCGTCTGCTAAACACGTTTTTCTCCGAATACTGAAGCCTTTTCAATAACGCAGTGTAACTGCATGGTCATTGGTTTGTGCAGTGAATTAAAAAAACGAACCAATGGTTCGGCAGCGGAGCTGCACGAGCCTATGGCGACAAAGCCCGCCAGAGCCCACCAGAATGGGCGGGGCATCTGGCTATATAAGCGGGCACTTCGCCATAGGATCCTCAGATTTCTTCTCCTTCAGCGACGACTGCAAGATCTTCACTCTACGAGACTCGAAGCATTCGCCGTGAACAAGCCTCGCAGCGGATCAAGACCCTTTCCTGCTTGGCTGACTTCACCGCTCTTCAGCCGCCTTCAGCGTCTGCAGCAGCTGCGGTCTTCCCGGTCCCCTGCCGCTATCCGGCGATTTCTATAAGAGCAAATTTCTGAGCAAATTTCTGGCGTTGTTTCAAATGCCGCGCCACTACTGTCACTGATGGTCACAGCGAGTGCGTTTCATGCTTGGGCGCCGCCCACGCTGAAACAGCACTCACTGAGACAGAATGTCCTCATTGCGAGGATATGAGTCTCGCCTCTCTGCGCTCTTTTCAGAAAGCTACTCCGCCCCTCGCGCCCTCCCACTTTCTTCCTCCCAGGAGCCTGAGAGGAAAAAGCAGCGGGGCAGAGAATCTCGGAAGTCAGTGAGAAGAAATGACACATCCTACATGCGACATGTCTCCATAGTCACCATTGCCGTTTCCCTGCTGATCGCAAACATCTGTTTTATCATTGGAGCTGCAATCGCAGAACAAGAACAGCCAACCTCAGTGGACCGCTGCAGTCCAGTGGTTTTCTTCATGCACTTTTTTTACTTGGCTCTTTTCTTCTGGATGTTAATGTCAGCGCTGTTGCTCTTTTACCGTACAGTTATGGTCTTGTCTCAAATGTCAAGGGCCAAAATGATGGTCATCGCCTTCATAGTCGGTTATGGTGCACCTTTGCTGATAGCGATCATTACTGTTGCCTCAACAGCTGGACCTCAAAATTATATTTCCAAAAGAAATGCATGCTGGCTGAACTAAATTGAGAAAATAGACAGTTTGTTGAGTAACATGCATCTAACTATTTGCAGATGTGTACAACGTGTCTGAAGCCAACCTTTCCTCAGCACTTGCGTCTTCAGACAGCTCCAACAGCTCATATGCCATTATGAACACTTAAAAGACTCTTCAACTATGTTTCACCACTGCAATTTCTGTTACTGTTTTGTGGAGGGAATGTTTTTATGATCTGAGGTGATTTGTCTACAAATGTGGCTATAATATGACTTTATACATTGTGTAATATACTGTGAATGCAGTGATTAGGTATGGACTAATGCTGATGACTGTCTGCCATGTACAAGTCATGTAGCTGCTTTTGCATATTTACAAAGCAGCCTTCATTTATAATCAGCCTTTGCCTACGAGGAAAAACAGATCAAATGCTGAACTGTTCACAGGAGGCAGAGTTTCAGAGGGTTGATGCTAGAGATAAAACAGATTATGTTTTTACAGTGATTTCAGATTTCCAATCCATTTCTGATGGACAAAATCAAGTCCCACTCTACATTTTTTCACTCAGACCGTAAGAGTGACTTCCCACACTGCTCTGTATAACTAAGATGGCGGAGCACAGTTTGAAGCGTTCTGCTGAAGGCGAACTTTCACATGTTTCCATAGTAGCATAATACTTACCTCGTCATTCTTGATGTGTTGGTGTGACGAACGGAGGGTGGAGGTGTGGTGTAAGATTTGGTTTGCGATGCAGTACTCTGCAACATCTAGCGATTGAAAAATAGTATACATATAGCACCTTTAAGCCATGTTGAAGCCATCAGCCTGCGTAATTTCAACTTATTTTTAAAATAATTGTGTTTAACAATGGAATTCCTGCTGAAAACGACATTATTTATGATTCTGCAAATAAATATTCACCAATCAGAGAATCAATCCAAGCAAACTGAGGCAAAATAACACTTTTGCGAATTACATAGAGTCAGTTTCTCTACATTGATAAAATTACTTTGTGCATAATATTCATATTTTGCAATAAATGTAAAGAAATATTGTTAAAGCATTACTTTTGGTTGCTTTGCCACTTCAAAACACTATCCATGTGCAGCAGCAGGTCAGGCTGTCGCTTCGTTGCACACGATGGCGGTGCTCCACGAAGGTTCAGGTCTGAGCCCGAACAACACGGGGGTCCTGGCCCATCTCAGTATGAGGATCAGAGACGGGCACAGAAGGCTAGTGTCGCGGCTCGCGCTCCTCCCCCGCCTGCGGGTAGGGGTAGGAGGAATCGCGGGTCAAAGGGAGGTAGGTAAGACCTAAGGGATGTGATCCAGACAGGGCGTCAGCGCTTTTGTCGCTGATCAGAGTGATACCTCAGTATCTACTCATTTCCTTCGGGGGTCTTACATCTGCCCTTATCTTCCCTTTCCTAATGCCCCTATAACCACCATCTCTCCACCTGTCCGAGGTTAGGTAGGAACTTCCTGCATTACAGTCTCCTATGCTGGACCTATGATGTTTGGTTGGTTCTATGGCTTCATAGTGACCACCTTACTGATGGTACAAACTAGAGGCTTCCTCGGATCGCTTCTTGAATGGGGCTTCTGCGTGGGAACCATGGTGGGTGAGTACGATCCATTTT